CAGCAGCCAATCAAATTGCGCGATTCATTAAAACAAGTGCATGCCATATTATAATATATAATATTACTCTATTCTAAATTAAAAACTCACTCGTGCATACTATTCCGAATTGCACTCGAAGCCATAATACTATTACGTATACGAATTGATAATCAAGTAAACACGTAAGTTACTTTGGCAACGGAATCGGCTTCAGTGTATGCAGTGTATACTGTCTGCACGCGAGGCCGGTCTTGCAAGCGCTCCCGCATTACACGGAGGAAATCATATTAGAGAGCTTAAGCTTCGCGTTCAACGGCAGCAAAGGTCAAACGTTAGGCAAAGAAAAATTTTACGCTATAAAGCAATGAAAAGTAAATGGGCTTATTGTCTTATAACTAGAATGCTTAAGTATTCTTGTGCCTTATGAAAAAAAATATGACACGCAGAAAATTATGCCAAAAAAAGTCGGCCTTGCCGTTTGCCGTTGCATTGCCGCAAAGTGAACCTCAAACTTCCTATTAGCAAAATGACCGCCGTTAGAAGCGTTACGTCAATTAATTATAATAGTCACTCAATCGGTTCTGTTTAATTTGTAGTAGGCTATTTTGATCTGTTAATGCAAATGTATCGTCACATTATTATAGAAATAACTATATAATACATTGAAATAATTTAAAAGTCTGACTATATGAAGTCAATACATGAAGTATTGACCAGTGCATGCATGCAACACCCTGACTCTGTTAGAATTTGTCTGACCAGTGTGGTATTTTTATCTATTCCTTAGGATCAAGTTTTTCAGTGACGTTATGAAACAATGCTAATGATGTATAATCATACAAATCCAACAGAGTCGAGTACATGGACAGAGAGTGATCGGATGAAATCCATTGCATTTCTGGACGAGCTTGAATTAGCAGAAAAAATTATATTAATTATTTTCGTCATTTGCACAACTATTGGCAACACTTTGGTTTTGGTGGCGATCTGGAGAGAGGCAAGTCTTCATCCACCAAATAAATATTTTGTTGTTTGTCTGGCTGTCGCTGATCTTTTGGTTGGCATGATTTTAGAACCATTGATGGTTTATGATCTCAGTCTGGATGATGAATCGCGACGTCACATCTGTATTCATCTATGTCATTTTATGGCGTGGATAGATACCTTCGCGTTATCAGCATCTATTTATACACCGATATCTCAAGCTCAGGAAGCCACTTCAATATAGATCCAGAATGACAACTTCCAAATCATTGAAAATTATCTTTATCATTTTGTTCATTTCAACTACCTTCGCCACCTATACCGCCACTGCTCATTCAGGAAGCATCAGCGGACTGGAATACTGCAGCACAGCTGATTTTAATGAACGGAAAGGATACATTACTTTTCTGGGAGTAAGTTTATTTTTTCTACTCGCTTCTTCCATATTTCAACATATTTCAACAACAAATCGACAAACTTCCATATTTCAATGGTCTGTGCAATCCAATAATCTATGCCTTTTTAAAAATCTTTTAAAAATCTGCTTCAGCGAATGATGTGTCGACCAATCCCAAGAAGACGACAACCACCTGAGACAATAAAGTTACGCTCACTGAGAACAAGACAAAGCAACATTTCATTAATATTTTATGAATACTTTATTCTCATTTCATAAATACTTACGTCCTTACTCAAAAGGAAAAATGTGTTTATAAAAGGCTGCGCTCGTGCATGGTATAACAAACTTATATATGACGTCAAGTTTGTTCTGCGCATGCGCAATTTAACGACCTAGCTCTTGTGTACCCAAATTTTTCGTTGTTTCGATATCTTCTAAATTAAAACTCTAACTAAATTCGTTTAAAAGCACACCAATTGCTAACCCGAACGGTGTTAGATATTCTAAGTGCATTGTATTTTATGAATATAGTGTCTTCAACATGTAAACAAACTGCACATCCGCTGAACGGACTTGACCGATTCTTTAAGACTCAAAAAACCTTGACCGCCTTCTTTTAGTGCTAACCTAAGTGCTAAATATGATCTTTAAGTTGTAGGCGCAAAAAATCTAACATCAATACAAATATAACTAAATAAACATACGCAAGCAATAATTTTTTTCAAAATTACAATTTTGTTTTTAACCTTACACCGGAATAAACGACAAATATCTTTTGAAAGTTAATCTAAACAGGTCTTTCCAAATTATATTTCGCCCTCGCGCACAAACAATAGCAAAATCTCCGTGTGCAGTTACTTTTTTCGATCGACGCAAGGGCCCGAAGGGACCGTTGTTACGCGTGCAATTACACAATTTTTCTCTGAACACTGAATCCAGGTAAACTATTAGATAGGACAGTGGCGAATGCTCTTTTTACGTGTTCTGTCGACTGCTAGTCTCCCTCGCAGACGTTCTTATAGATCTAACCCTCGCTAACTAACGTCTGCTGAAACGAGCTGCACATTCCATTCCCTTTGTTTTAGGAGCCAATGATCTGGCAGTGTTCAAAAGAGTTAGAGCCAATTGGAAGCCGCCTTATTGAGGGTTTAGCTACTGGGGAAAGCCCTTGCACATGGGAATATATTGTTTGGGTTGAAATTTGTCTACTTGCGTGGAGATATTTTGGAAACTATATAGCCTTGAACTTCACGATGTTTACGTAGAATAATATTGTGATCATCTTCTCGCATGTTCTGCAAACAACCGGCGTATATAAAATGCAAAAGCTGTGCAACAGGCGAAATTTTAAATTTTGTTAACAATGACAAACAAACAATCGGGAAACTCAAGAACGAGTAGATCAGGATATGTCCAAATGTTGCTATTAAATTCTTCCGATATGCCATGGCTTCGACGAAAAATTTTAAAAGATTAAGCTCTCGTTGCATGTAGAAAAGTATAGCGAAGTTACATGTATAAACGTTTCCAAGTTTGGGCGAACTTGAAATTCATATCGGCGCAATTAAAAGTTTCTCGGGTTTTATTTGTGTTGTGTTTACATTCAAAAGTCAGCAAGTTGTTGCTCAAACAGCAAATTAGTTTACTTTGAAACCAATATTTCGCTTTCTAAGCCACAATATTATATCAAATTTTCTGTCTTCTGAGTTCTGTTGTCTTAAAGATATATATCTGTCAAAAGTTCAAATTTCAGCGAAATATATTCTGCATTTGTATACTGTCGCCACTAGATAAATTACAGTATGCCCTCGAGTATGCCATCCTGTCCACGTTTTAAATATAACCGAACATCTTTAATATCCGAATGTGATAATTAATGGCGCATGTTATTTCCTGGACAAGTATCAATGTCTTTAAATTCAATTTATATATGTGCGAGTTTGACCAAAATTCAACCGACGACTGCTTTCAAACTATAAAAATATTTATGTACTATTTATTCCGCCCGTAAATCACTTTCCGAAACATAGAAGGTTCGCTGTGATTGGTCGATCGGAGGGAATGGAATGTGCAGCTCGTTTCAGCAGACGTTAGTTAGCGAGGGTTAGAGCTATAAGAACGTCTGCAAGGGAGACTAGTCGACTGCATGTCCCTTATATTTTAAGATATTTTAGATTTTATGATCTATATAGCATCATACAGCCTTCCCTGATTCTATGATGTGCATCACAACACAGGTGCACCCACCCAGCTTTGGCTAGCTCACCCCCCCACCAGACCCTGAACTCTTCTGATAATAACCAGGCCATTGCCCCCATCATATCGCCCTAACCGGTTGAGTGCTGGACCGTTAACAAACCTACGCTGGTGCGAACTACCTTATCTTTAGGACCATCACCTTTATAGGGTAAAGTCTTGTGATGCAACAGTTAATTACAGGGCCGTAGCAACCGGGGGGGCTGGGGGGGCTGCAGCCCTCCCAATAATTTGCTAATAATCATTCTTTTTTCAAAATCATGCAAACTTTATCATTTAATCTGTGACAAACTGCAAAGAATGAAGATATTACTCATACTCCAGATCGTTCCTCGCGTAGAAATTTTAGCTGAATTTCTGTCGCGCATTTTCAAGAAAATCCCACAAAATCTGCACATTTTTGATGAACTAATGATTTATTTTGTCTTTTGCGTGTTGGGTCTTGCGAAAGAAAACTCTGAAAATGCCATTTCAGACCATCTAGAGACTCCAGATTTTCGAAATTTTCTCAAATGTTCTGCCTTCATTTCCGCGCAACTGCCATTTACGACGAAAATTCCCACCGCGCATTTATAATACTACAGTCTGGCCCATACTTTCCTGTAAATTTCGACTTACTAAAACGCTGTTTTCTGACTATCAGAATTCTGTTAAATCTTCCCCCAAAGTCCAGGAAATGGCATTTTAGAGACTTTAAATTTAAAAATTTCCTCGGGCCTTCGGCCCTCGCTTTCAGCCCCCCCCCCCCAATCGAAAAGAGCTTCCTACGGCCCTGCAATCCGACACACAAACTGCATAATTTACTGCCTCCCAAACATGAGTCGGTTTACCAACTTAGGAACAATAGACTGTTTGAACGATTCGAAACTAATACAGAAAGAGTTAAAAAAACTTTTATTCCTATGTCTAGTAACTTAAGTTAATGTAATTTTTAGTACTAAGCGTTTTAATGACCATTTGTAAATATGCCTAATTAATCCATATTCTAAGGCCAAGTGTCTTAAATCCCCCTTTTTCTGTTTTTTTCGTAGTCGAGAAATCGAGTTTGCGTTAGCTCATCGCAGGCTCAGGGTGCAACCATTAAGCCAAAATGCCATCGATTCCCTCGGTTCCATGATCCAGATAGTATAGTAATAAGCTCGCATATATGTACGTAATATAGCCGACTCATGCCATGCTTGTGGTACATTTTTCGTTTATTAGCCTATACACTTGTACGCACGCGCACAATTCCGAACTGCAATGGCGGCTTTTCACAGAGGGATCAACCTATATTTTACACAGTTTTGTTGAATTTTCAAAGAATTGTGCCGGTTTCCTATGTATTTTACGTTGTGTCGTACTCTGGACTTTCTTGCGTGTTGAATTAATGCGTTTTTCTTTGTGTAATGACTCGAAAACCACAAAATATAATATTTAGTACTCCACGAAATATAATCTGCGCGAAAAGCTTTGTGGTAGCTATACTAAAGATAAAGCGTGCGTTCAAAATACCAACAAGAACTAGAACCATTATTGTATCATTTGTATGGTTCTCATTTGCTAGACTTGCCACAAGTCGACCTCGAAGAAACGCATTTCGTTCGAGGTCGACTTGTGGCAAGTCTACTCATTTACAATAACACTAGTTCGACGCGAATTTTAATACAAGTATAGTATCATATTTCATAATACAACAAACAATGTAAACTAGCCATACATTTTGCCGAACATAACTTCGGCCCCTTTGGACATATCTTTTTCGTGATGATGTTATTGGAACCAGAATCGAAAACACTATTTATAGTGTTATTTTCAAGCTTGTGTCTTGAGATTTTCGTCTTTTATTTCGGTATTTGCAGAATATTTATATTTTTAGCGCGGCCCAAGGAACGCACATGAAAACAACGCGCTGTTAGGAAAAACCGGAAATCGATTCTGTAGGTCGGCATGATTTGCACGTGCGTCGATCTCCATTACTTCTCCTGAAAAGGTCTTTTATTTTTTTAAAAAGTCCATAAAATTTGCTTGCGGTTTAAGATTTGTATTCCTGCTTTTTGCACCATAGCACGTATCTCGTTATTTTCAGGCCAGTGTGAACGCCTGAGCAGGCGTCTTGTTTAAATAATGTTTTATATACTCTTGTAAATCACGCAATTCAGCTGTCCAGCTGCAAGGTGAATTTTAAATACACTATCTATCTATCTATCTATCTATCTATCTATCTATCTATCTATCTATCTATCTATCTAAGCGACGATGTCACAACGGTTTGCAATTATTGTTCTGGTAAATGTTTTGAGTTAGTTATGGCGAAGACTGCAGACTGACAGTCAAAAGCTTGTATGAAATAAATATTTACGATCAGAGAATATTTATTAATATTATTATGAATAACCCTTTTCCTGCTTCCAGCATCTTTAATCTGCAAAATCTGTCTACAAACTTCTAATTATCAGATAACATAACTCAGGAAACAAAACAGTGAAAACACTTAAACCACGCAGAAAATATCTATATGGAAACTAGCCTCGAAAACATTTTGACTCGTTTACATCTTTCAAACGTTGCGGCTTAACTCGAAGAACTAAATTTTTGACTATACTCGAGTTAAGCCCCTATTTTTTAGAGGGTTTATAAACTCGACGTATCTAACTCCAGTCATGTACTTCGAGTTAAGGTGGAATAACCCCCAGAATTTTTAAAAAAATTAGTATTTTTTTTAAAAATTTTTTCCCCCTCATATATGTCCTAGAGTATGAAACTTTGATCCTATGTTGATTTTACATTTATATTATACATATAACGGCTGTTTTTTTAGGATTATTAGACGTTCGTGGCATCGTTGCCATGGAAACATATTTGTTTACCCTTTGTTTTTGGTCAATAAAGTGAAAGTTATTGCCCAAAATCAACCCAAAATAAATGTGGGGTAGCTATGAAGGACTGGGTTCTATTTTAAACTATTCCCAGGCCTCTCCAGATCCAGCACGCCATATTAGCAAAATAAAATCGAAGGTCGTTTTATATTCGAAGATATTTTCAAAAATAAGATGGGTAAATTTGCCTCTAAAAGGCGCAATAAACGGCAATTCTCTGGAAATCGTTTTACAAAACATCCTCGTGTTGATAATGAAGAAAGGGGCGATGTAAAAATACCAGAAAAAGACGCTGGAAAGAAGATTTCTTCAGTGGAAGCCGAGACAAATAATGAGCACATGGCTTCCGGAAATTCGGCTTCTTTTGGAAAGCTGCAACAACTTATCAACGAAAGATCTAACTGTAAAACGTTGGATAATAGTGATAAAGGTATTACTGGTTTCAGACTTTGTGATATGGGACTTATTGCTGATGTGTTTTGTCTGTTCAAATGCCCAGAGTGTGACTGTGTTGGTCTTTCCCTTGAAGAAGATGATGTAAGTCGCAAAGGCTGTGCCTCAAAGCTTCGTTTATGTTGCCAAAACTGCAGTTGGAAGCATCTGTTTTGGACTTCTAAGCGAACAGAAAAAAGCTTCGAAGTAAATAAGCGTCTTGTTTATGGCATGCGTAGAATAGGGAAAGGTCATGCGGGGGCCTCGAAGTTCTGTTCTATTATGAACATGCCATCACCATTGACAGCGAAGTCGTTTCGAAAGTCTTCACGGACTATTACCCAACATGTCAAGAAAGTTGAAAAAGCATGTATGAAATCTGCCGCAGAAGAAGTACGTGCTAAGAAAAGAACTGTCAACTCTGATGACACTATTCCTGTCGACTGTGGAATTTCGTGTGATGGCTCTTGGCAGAGAAGGGGGCATTCTTCGCTGAATGGATGTGTTACCATTATCTCCATGGAAACTGGGAAAGTTCTCGACGTTGAAGCCCTGACCAGCCACTGTAAAGAGTGCAAGTACTATGAAAAGCTGGACAAAAATAGTAAAGAATATCGAGAATGGAAAGCCAAGCACACTAAGTGTAATGCAAATTACCGAGGATCTGCTCCGGCAATGGAACCAGAAGGAGCTTTACGAATGTTTGAAAGATCAGTGGAAGAGAATAATCTGCGATACACAGATTTTTATGGTGATGGGGATAGCAAAAGCTTCTCTGAAGTAAAGAATACCTATCCTGGCATTGAAGTGCAGAAACGAGAGTGTATCGGCCATGTTCAGAAAAGAGTAGGAACGGCACTCCGAAAATTGAAGAAAGATAATCCCGGACTGGGTGGTAAGGGCAAGCTGACAAATGCCATGATAGATAAGCTACAGAATTATTATGGCATTGCTCTTAGGTCCAATGTTGGAGATCTGGGTAAGATGGCAAAAGCCATCCATGCTAGTCTCTTCCATTGTGCTTCAAGTGATGCGAACCCTTACCATACCTTCCATTGCCCACCCGGTAGTGATAGCTGGTGTCGTTACCAACAAGACAAAGCAAATGGGACAAAATTATACAAACATGGTCCTGGTCTTCCAAAGAACATCATTAAGCTGGTTAAGCCTGTGTACCAGAGACTTACTGATAACAGTCTTTTGGAAAAATGCTTGCACGGAAAAACACAAAATCAGAACGAGGCTCTGAACGCTCTAATTTGGCAAAGAATTCCCAAGGAAGTCTTTGTTCACAGAGACTGCTTAGAGTTTGGGGTGTATGATGCTGTCTTACACTTCAATATTGGTTGCAATGCAATTGTTGAACTTTTCAAGTCAATGAATATTCCTGCTGGCAAGTACACTGAATTTGCCTGTCATGCTGAAGACAAGTCTCGTGTATCGCTCGCACAATATAAAAGCACGCCCAGAGCTAAAAAGAGAAGAAAGTTGATCAGAGGACTAAAAAAGAAAAAGGAGGACAAGAACCAAGAAACAGAGGGACTAAAATATGGAGCAGGAGAGTTCTAGTGGTTTCTGAAGCTAAGCAGAGGTATATGTAGATGTGAAACATGGTAGACAAACTTTAAACTGTATTTTCTCTAATATCAATTTTCGGGTATTTTGTAAACTCGTAACATTGATAACTCAAAAAGTATCTGGTAGATTTTACTCAAATTTTCAGTAAATATTCCACATATGTAAAGCTATGCAATGAACTAGAATGGTGGGATATGCCTTACTAGATTTTGAATTATTTTGAAATATGTATTCTGATTCCGAGTATGTATACTATTGACTAAATAAATTAATAACCACTTCTCTGATCAAAAAGCTTTTAGTTCATTGCATAGACATATTAAAGATCATTTTATCCCCAAAGTTTCATAGACATTGCTTAAAAACTAATCAAGTTATGGTTGTTGGCGTTTTGGCTCAAAGTACGGGTTTTGTCACTTTATCCTGGTAACCATGGCAACAGACAATGTCATTACCACAAAAATATTTATACTCTTTTGTGCTTATAACATCCATGCAATTTAAATTTTGTTAAAAGCTTTTTTTAAAAAAAAAATAATTTGGGGGTCATTCCACTTAAGCCCTCAACGGAAATGGGTGTGGCCTAACTCGAAAGGGACTTAACTTGAAAAAAAATAATAACATTTAATATCCATCTTTGGTTAAAAAAGTACAATGGATTTACAAGAAGTGCTAAGGTTAAAATTGATAAGAAGAAATTTTACTATTATTTACATCAGTTGCTAAAAATGTTTATACTAGTTATATATTCTATAAAATTAATTTAGGACTGTTTTAAAAGGGATATAGCTCTAGGTATAAAGGATTGCCGGTGTCTTTTAGTATACGATACAACATATGGTAGATTATTTGTTGTTCTTAGATCGTGTTCATGGGTAAAAGGTTGGGGGATAAGTTTATTACATGGGTTGGTCGGATCACTTAGAATTCTTTGGTATTCCTTAACA